CCAAAAATACATCAGGAAAGATATTAAGAAGGGTGTTGAGAGAGAGAGCCAAAGAAGAATTTTTATTTTCTCCTGAAGTGTAGGATAGAGACTGAATTTTGTTTATACATTCAAGTGCTTGTTTTAGGATATTTTTTTTAAATAAATGTATATAAAAAATTGTAAAAGTCACGAGATGCATTCATGAATTTCGTCAGGTGATACAATACATTGTATAAGAGCTCATGTAAATAGGAATTTCGTATATAGTAATTAGCTAAAATAAGTTAAATATATTAAATATATTAATAAATAAAATATTAAAATTGCAAATTAATAAATATATATATTAAAAATTTCTTAGAAATAAATATAAAATCAATAACGTGATTATATACAGATACGGTATAATAATTAAAATTCTTATTGAAAAAAAAAATTGGTTATTCGATTAAATTTAAATAAATTTAAATTTATTTTAATTTGAAAAGTTTTCCAATAGATTAAAATATCTTAATATCCATATTTATTTTTTATATTTATAATGATTTGAAAACATATGACTTTAGCCTAGTTGTGGGTTAAATAAATAAATATATGGATATCTAATAAAATTTAAAAGACATACATATTGCGCACTAATCAAATAGATTCACGCGATATTTTTACCAATCAAATATTTTGATGAAACGTAACGATTTATGCTTGCGTTACCAAGTATTTGATATTATTTTATCTAAATTGATTTTCGAATTTAATCGGTATTAATTGATAAATATACAGTATATTTTTTTATTTTTATTAATAATCATTAGAGAGATGTAACAGAGTATTTTTATAATCAGGATGTGAGATTTCGCATGAGATTTTGGATGGTCTTGCAGATTTGATGATGAAAGAGCGCGAGGATACATTGTTGGTCAATGAAATTTCTAGGAATTCATTAGTTTCATTGATATGCATGTTTTTTTTTCAATCGATTATTCACGAAAATTTTGTCATACTGATATTGAGATACATAAACATGCGTGTATATAACACGCATCCATAAAAAGCTACAAGTTTCTCATTGTCATTATTTAATATTGACGTGTAACTAAAGTATATAATGATGATGCACTCCAGTAAAAAAAAAGTTTTTTCAGGATCTTCAATTTTTAAGGCTTAATGATTTTTAAATCGAAATTCCCCGATGTCGAGATTCCATCCATTGGAATCTATCAATATGTGACAAGCAATCCGAACAATTTGTCCGAAAGTAAAGTTGTATTTATCGACGGGACAACAGGTAGAAAGATAACTTTTGGCGAATTTAAAAGGGATACAAAA